CCTGTGTGCCTCGGGGTGCATGCAGACATTCAGGGGGTTAGATAGGGGAAGAAATGGCAGCCCAATCTAACTTAGTTCACCCACATGCAGACCTTAAATGCTCAGATCCCTAGTTAAGTCAATCTAAGTGCTGAACTGTATAGATGTTCCCTGAAGGTTAGATTCAGCAAAAAATGGCCAGCTTGATCTAATTTTAGTTCATCTGAGAGGTGCACCAAGTTAGATCAAGCATGGTTAGACTGATCTAACTGAATGCCTGTACATGGTTGGAGTACAGGGTTACAGGGTTGGAAAAGCCCAGCTGCTTGCCCCAGCCCTAGGACTGTACTTTCCCTCCCTCTTCCCACCAGGCTATTTTAGTATCCCCTGACCCCACACCCAGATAGACAACTCCCCCACCCCCTTTGGACCAGCTAGCACCTCCACATCCACCAAACCTACAAACTACCCCCAGTGCCAGTTTTACCAGCATTTTCTGGTGCTAAGAGCCTGATTGAAGTAAGCTCGGGTGGGGTGAGGGGTGGACAGGACCGCGGGGGGGCAGGGGTTGTTTGTTCATCTGGGTGTGGGGAGGGTCAGGGGACTAAACATAGTCCCTGGTTGAGGTGAGGGGAGAAGCAGCAAGGGAAAGACAGATCCCTGATCCTGCCAAACCACCCCCAAGACCCAACCAACTTCTCCCCGACCACAGAGCCATGAGCCCCCTGATCCCATTAACTCTCCCCCACATGGAGCTGCCAGCCCCCCCACAATCTGCCTGCCCCTCTCCTAACCCCAATTTACTTCAATCAGGCTCCCAGCACTTGCGAACATTTGTAAAACTGGCAGCAGGAGCAGTGTGGGACCTGGGGAAGTCTGGCAGAACTTGTGGGGGGGGGCGCAGATCTGCAGGGAATAGGGGCTGGAAGGATTGGAGAGGCTCTCCGATCCCACCAACCACCCCCCTTGATTCCTCCAAGCCCCCTCACAGACCTTGCTAGCCCTCCCCAATCCCATCAAACCCTCCTGGAACCTACCAATGCCCCCACGGGTCACTTTTTACACAATCTGACCTCCTGAACTTCTAAGTGTATAGTCTATATGCACCCTTAGTAACTTCAACAAAAATGAGCATGGTCATAGATGCTCTACCCAGATGCAGAGTTGAGACCATGGATTGATTTGCCCCTTGGAAAGGTTTGGCACTCTAGAACAGCATTGTTCTGAACAAGGCATAAACTACCTTTTTCAGAAACCTTGTTTTTTGGAGCATAACAATTACAGGATCAAATGAAAAGTTACACCCAGACAGTTTCATAGTGCTTAGTGTTGGAAGGGACCTAAACAGATCATCAGGTCCAACCCCCTGCCCCAGGCAGGACCAAGTGCCTGGGTCATAACCCCCCAGCCAAATATCTGTCCAGCCTCCTCTTGAAGACCCCTAAGGTAGGAGAGAGCACCACCTCCTTTGGGAGTCCATTCCAGAGTCTGGCAGCCCTAACTGTAAAGTAATGTCTCCTGATGTCCAGCCTGAACCTGCTCTCTAACAATTTCTGTCTGTTATTCCTAGTAACCCTGGGTGGTGCCCGGGGGAAAACAGCCTCCCCCATTTTCCACTGGTCCCCCCTGGTGAGTTTGTAAATGGCCACCAGATCCCCTCTCCGTCTTCTCTTGTGGAGGCAGAAAAGATTCAGGCCCTTTAGCCTCGCTTCATAGGGCCTGACCCACTGCCCCTTGACCATGTGAGTGGCCCTCCTCTGGACCCTCTCAATCCTAGCCACATCCCTCTTGAAGTGCGGCACCCAGAACTGGATGCAGTACTCCAACTGCAGCCTGACCAATGCCACATAGAGGGGAAGTATCACCTCCCTGAACCTGCTAGTGATGCATCTGTAAATGCACAAGGTGCAGTTAGCCTTACGGACCACTTCCTCACATTGGCAGCTCATGTTCATCCTGGAGTCAATAATGACTCCAAGATCCCTTTCTGCAATTGTGTTGACAAGAGGGGTGTTCCCCAGCCTATAGGTGTGTTGCAGGTTCCTTCTCCCTAGATGCAGTACCTTGCACTTGTTTGCACTGAATTCCATCCTATTCTCATCTGCCCACCTCTGTAACCTATCTAGATCTAGCTGGATTCTGTCCCCCACATCCAGCATGCTCACCTTGCCCCACATCTTGGTGTCATCAGTGAATTTGGACAGCATACTTTCCACATTCAGATCGCTGATAAAGATGTTGAACAGTACAGGCCCCAGGTCCGAGCTCTGGGGGACTCCACTGCCTACATCCCTCCGGGTCGAAAATGACCTGTCCACCACCACTCTGGGTGCAACCATCTAGTCAATTTGCCACCCATCTGGTTGTGTAGGCATCAATGCCGCAGTCGCCTAGTTTTTTTAGGAGAATATGGTGGGAAACAGTGTCAAAGGCCTTCTTCAAGTCCAGGAAGATGACGTCCACCTTGATGCTCTCGTCCAGGGACTTTGTGACCTGATCATAAAAGGAAACCAAGTTAGTCAGGCAGGATATGCCCTCAGTGAACCCATGTTTGTTGCCCCGAGCATTACCTCCCCTGCTGGAGCATTACCTCCCCTGGCATATATAAGTACTTTTAATTCTTGTTCAACTATTTTACTCCCAGCACTTATGCAACCTCCCTTTCCCTATCTTTAAATTCTTGGCAGTATGACTAGCAACTGAAATCCAATTGCCAGAACTCTGTTGAAATAAGCACAATTTATCCTTTGACCTCAAAGCTCACCCTGCTGTCATGCACTTTTCCTGCAAAAGAGCTGTTTTTACTTAAGGAAGAAACTGGGAAACCTGTGCCAGTGAAAAATGTTGGGAGAGGGCCAGTGAAAAATGTTGGGAGAGTGTTTGATTGTTGTTTTTTTATTATCTATATATTTTTTGGTTTTTAAATAAGCCATTTTTAATTCTCATATAAAGCTCAAAATCACCAGTTTCACTTTACACCAAAAGCATTTTCCATAGCTCTAAAATTAAAGGTCGCACTGTTCCCAGTCTTTGCCTTGGAAAATACAAAGTGAAGAGAATCATTCATTTCCAGACTACATACCTTATATAGTATTAAAAATGTCATTTGGAAACAGCATTACAATCTGAAATACACAAATCTTTACACTACTGTTTTCATCCTCTTCCT